ATGTCCGCATGTCATTTCATTGGGCTATCATTTGTGGCCAGGTCGCTTCTGAAAAAAGAGAGCTATGTAGGTGAGTGAGCCTTACCTGGTGAAATAAAAAAAACACATTTTAAAGTTGTATAGTTTGTGTGTGTGTGTGTGGCAAGCGGTAGTGGAGTGGTTAGGGCGCTGCTCTATGAACCCAGCGACCCGAGTTCGATTCCCGCTCTCGGCCACCAACACCATCAGCGACGATTATCTGAACCGGTCCTGGACCTCCCCTAGGTTGACTCGGCTTCAAATTACTACCTGGTGCGACGTGTAATTAACATCGTCACTGGGGAGATAAAGGCGGCCAGGCGTGGTGCTGGCCATCCATCCCCTCGTGTAGCATGCCAGTCTTCATAGGTGCTCGCTAACAGCACTGTGCCCCAACAGTGTGTTGAGGCTATAAGAGGGGGGGTCTTTGTACGTGTGTGTGGGGAGCGGTAGTGTCTGTTAAGGCTATATGGGGGATCTTTGTTTTTGGAGCGGTAGTGTAGGCTATACGGGGGTCTTAGTTGTATGTGGTCTGTGTGTGGTGTGTGTATTGTTAATGGAGGTCTGCTGATGATGATTTTGCATGGCCGACGAAGAGCGACGATTAAAAGATGCAGGTCTTCGTGATTGTTGGCTCTTCATTGGCGCTTGGTCTTGAATGTTGGTGAACAGCAGATACTCGCCGCTCGCTCGCTCGTCAACTCGGCCACCCACTCGCACACCCGCTCACCGAGGCTGTGGGAATGCTACCGATTAATTGGCTGCGCTTTGTCGCGGCTCCGATTTTAGCGCGGTTGGCTCTGTACAGTGCGAAAGAAGTTGAACATACATAGTCTCATATTCTTAGTTTTTTCGGTAAAGTCACACTGAAGGGAAACAACAAAATAATAAAATATATATAACAATAAAAAATTCTCACGACGTTTCGACCATAACTCAAACGGTCATCTTCAGGTGTGTTGGTTTGCATAAATTTATTTTTAAACGGCGCATTTATTTATTTATAAAAAACGTTAGCGCCACGCGCAACGATTTGGCAGTTTATTTAGGACTAGTCCATCTATATTCTGAAAAGAGGAGGGGGGAGACGAATTTTTTTATAATGTATGCTGTCTGAAAGCCACTGTAAGCGTGAACAAAATAAATTTATGCAAACCAACACACCTGAAGATGACCGTTTGAGTTATGGTCGAAACGTCGTGAGAATTTTTTTATTGTTTTATATATATTTCATTATTTTGTTGTTTCCCTTCAACGTGACTTTACCGAAAAAACGAAGAATATGAATTACTGCAGTCACGAAAGCTTTAAATAAAAAAAATACATAATCTCGTTAAAGAGTTATAGCCGATTTGGTACGTGTGATCGTTTGCCCGGTGCCTGTGTGACCACGTCGGGTCTCTGTGTAATGAGTGTACGGGTCTCAGTGTAATGAGTGTACGGGTCTCTGTGTAATGAGTGTACGGGTCTCTGTGTAATGAGTGTACGGGTCTCTGTGTAATGAGTGTACGGGTCTCTGTGTAATGAGTGTACGGGTCTCTGTGTAATGAGTGTACGGGTCTCTGTGTAATGAGTGTACGGGTCTCTGTGTAATGAGTGTACGGGTCTCTGTGTAATGAGTGTACGAATCTCTGTGTAATGAGTGTACGGGTCTCTGTGTAATGAGTGTACGGGTCTCTGTGTAATGAGTGTACGGGTCTCTGTGTAATGAGTGTACGGGTCTCTGTGTACTGAGTGTACGGGTCTCTGTGTAATGAGTGTACGAATCTCTGTGTAATGAGTGTACGGGTCTCTGTGTAATGAGTGTACGGGTCTCTGTGTAATGAGTGTACGGGTCTCTGTGTAATGAGTGTACGAATCTCTGTGTAATGAGTGTACGGGTCTCTGTGTAATGAGTGTACGGATCTCTGTGGGTCGCTGCGTGAGTCTATGGGACTCTATGCGAGTCCGTGTGTCCGGATGTAAGTCATTGGCAACGATCGCCGTGGAGGAGGGGAGGGGGGGGGGGGAGGGTGGAGAGGGAGGGTGGAGAGGGGGTCAGAAGGACGGCAGAGAGGGGGGGGAGATGGAGAAAGGGGGAGATGGAGAGGGGGGGGGAGATGGAGAGGGGGGGGAGATGGAGAGGGGGGGGGGAGATGGAGAGAGGGGGGAGATGGAGAGAGGGGGGGGAGAGGGGGAGATGGAGAGAGGGGGAGATGGAGAGAGGGGGAGATGGATAGAGGGGGAGATGGATAGAGGGGGGGATGGAGAGAGGGGGAGATGGATAGAGGGGGGGGATGGAGAGATGGGGAGCTGGAGGGAGGGAGGGGGGGATGGAGAGAGGGAGGGGGAGATGGAGGGAGGGGGAGATGCAGAGAGGGGGGGATGGAGAGATGGAGAGAGGGGGGGATGGAGAGAGGGGGAGATGGAGAGAGGGGAGGATGGAGAGAGGGAGGGATGGAGAGAGGGGGGGATGGAGAGAGGGGGGAGATGGAGAGAGGGGGAGATGGAGAGAGGGGGAGATGGAGAGAGGGGGAGATGGAGAGAGGGGGGGATGCAGAGAGGGGGGGATGGAGAGAGGGGGGATGGAGAGAGGGGGAGATGGAGAGAGGGGGAGATGGAGAGAGGGGGAGATGGAGAGAGGGGAGATGCAGAGAGGGGGGGATGGAGAGAGGGGGGGATGGAGAGAGGGGGGGGATGGAGAGAGGGGGGGATGGAGAGAGGGGGGGGATGGAGAGAGGGGGAGATGGAGAGAGGGGGAGATGGAGAGAGGGGGGGGATGGAGAGAGGGGGAGATGGAGAGAGGGGGGGATGGAGAGAGGGGGAGATGGAGAGAGGGGAGATGGAGAGAGGGGGGGAGGGGGGGATGGAGAGAGGGAGGGATGGAGAGAGGTGGAGATGGAGAGAGGGGGAGATGGAGAGAGGGAGGGATGGAGAGAGGGGGGGATGGAGAGATGGAGAGAGGGGGGATGGAGAGAGGGAGGGATGGAGAGAGGGGGAGATGGAGAGAGGGGGGAGATGGAGAGAGGGGGGGATGGAGAGAGGGGGAGATGGAGAGAGGGGGGGATGGAGAGATGGAGAGAGGGGGAGATGGAGAGAGGGGGGGATGGAGAGAGGGAGGGATGGAGAGAGGGGGAGATGGAGAGATGGAGAGAGGGGGAGATGGGGAGATTGAGAGAGGGGGGAGATGGAGAGAGGGGGGGGGATGGAGAGATGGAGAGAGGGGGAGATGGGGAGATGGAGAGAGGGGGGAGATGGAGAGAGGGGGGGATGGAGAGAGGGGGAGATGCAGAGAGGGGGGGATGGAGAGATGGAGAGAGGGGGAGATGGAGAGAGGGGGGGATGGAGAGAGGGAGGGATGGAGAGAGGGGGAGATGGAGAGATGGAGAGAGGGGGAGATGGAGAGAGGGGGAGATGGAGAGAGGGGGTGGTGATGTTACCTACTTCGCCTGGTGTACAGGAGGTTTTGGGTTCGATCTGGAGAGGGGGGAGATGGAGAGGAGGGGGGGGGGAAGCGACGACAACGCCGCGTGACGTTGGCGTGCCCCTCCCCCCTCGCGTGACGTTGGCGTGCCCCTCCCCCCCCTCCCGTGACGCTGGCGTGCCCCCCCCCCCTCGCGTGACGCGAACCGGTGGCTGGCGGCACGTTGTGTGCCGTCTCGATAGCCACGCCCACGCCGCGTCCGTCCGCCGCGACCCGATGGGTTTTGGGCGAGATGTTGACTACCTCGCCCGGTGTACGAGACGTCGTCGGTTCCATCCCGACCCTGATATCAGCCTGCTGCATATTTGGAGTTTGCGGATTCTTCGCACGGTTGCGTGGATTTTCTCAGGGTCGCCCGGTTTTTCCCCTCCGCACTTCTAACTAAACAAGCGTTCTAGAATATTTGGCTGCTGTTGATTTTTACGCGCGATGATAAGCCGTCGCCTTCGTTTGGGCCAAAATAAAAAAAAAATAACCGAAGCGCCCAGGCAAAACCCGCGTGTGCATGAGTGCGCGCGAGCGGGTGGGGGGGGTGGTGAGCGCTTTATCCCGCACAGACGGAACAGTTGGAGGTCAACTTTTTTTGCCGTACCGCCTTGTCCTGGCAGAGCTAGGTAGGGTCAACGGCGTCCCCTTCGATGTGGCGTGGCGTGGCGTGGCTCGGCGTGGCTCAGCGTGTTGTGACCACGCGTGACGTCCTGTGCCGGTGACTTCGCTTGCCGCGCATCGATCGACGTGGTTGCTTGTACGCGCATACGTTGAACTGATTTATTTCGCACCGTACGTAGCCGACCATGCAAATCGGAGGTGGGAGTGGGAGTTGGGGGTGGGGGGGGGGAAGGACAGTGCAAAGTTGTAAAGAAATGTGTGAGATTCATGCGGTGTGGTTCACGCGCTCCGTGTGTGTATGGTTCGTGCAGTTCATGCGGTGGTGCAGTTCACGCGGTTACATGTGTGTGAGGTTCATGCGACATGCGGCATGGCTCATGCAGAGCACGTTCAAGCGCGGCGCGGTTCGCACTGTGGTTCATGTGGTGCGGTTCAGTGTGGTACGTACGTGTAATGTATGTTGAGATAGCCTTTGGGTTAGTGGGTGGATCGGTGAGGCGAGCGAATGAGTAAATCGGTGAGTGATTGAGATGGCGGGTGGGTGTGAGCGGGTGGGCGCGTGAATCGGTGAGTGAGTGAATTGATGGTTTCACTCGTGATGAGTGGACTAGGCGGGCGAGTGGATGGTTTCACAAGTGGTTGGTGGGTGAATCGGTGAATGAGTTGATGGTTCCTCCATTGGTAAGCGGGTGGTGAGTAAGTGTGATACTTCTTCCTTCTCTCCCACCGTGCTTATCGTTTTGGTTTTGTTTGTGGTTTCCGCCACCCTTGTGCCGAGACGACCACGACGCCTGGCATGACTCTCCTCTGTCCAGTCCATCTGTCCGTCCGTGTCTCTCACTCTGTCTCTCCCTCCGTCCTCACCCCCCCTCCCCCTCACCGCCTCCCCCACCCACCCACGCGGCACCAGCAGGACGCGTTGCCCGTCTGGTCGGACGCGTCTCCCCCGTGGCGGGCCTACTCCCCGCGCCGTAGCCCCGCCAGCCTGCGCCACCACCAGCACCAGCCGCAGCCGCTGCAGCGCCATTCGGCGCGCTCGCACTCCAGCGTGCGCTCCGCCATGTCTTGCGGCGCCGGATCTTCCCCCAACGCCGCCGGCATCCGGCACGTGGCGTCAACGGCGTCGTTGCGAGCCGGCACCGGCGGTGGCGGCGGCGGCGGCGGCGCGGCGGTGCACGCGCGCAGCCCTTCCGCCACCAGCCTGGGGTCCGTCTTCGAGGTGAGGTTCTTGGGGGTGGGTTGTGCCGTGGTGGCACGGAGATGTTCACCACCTCGCCGGGTATGGCAGCGGCGACGTTTGGTTCGGTCCCCGACCCTGACGCTGTGAGCGGGAATGGAACTCGGGTCATCCCGCTCCGCTGTGGCCCCAACCTAACGCCGGCGACGGTTATCTGAGCTGGTCCCCGGGGGCCTCCCCTAGGTCTGCTCGGCCTCAAATGAGCACCTGGTGCGGTGTGTAGTGAAACATCGCCACTGGGGAGACGAAGGCGGTCAGGCGTGGTTCTGGCCACCCACACCCCCCCCTCGTCCCTTTCGTGTGCCGTTCCGGCCTTCATAGGTGCTCATCGCTAACAGCACTCGCCCCAACAGTCTCTTCAGGCTATACGGGGGGATCTGTGTCTTTTGGAGAGGTAGCGTAAGTGGTTAGCAGCGCGCTGCACTTGAGGAACCCGGTGACCCGAGTTCGATTCCCGCTCGCGGCCAACACCGGCGACGATTATCGCTGTGCAATAAACACCACCGCGGGGGGAGACAAAGGCCACCCACCCCCCTTCGTGTGCCGTGCCGGCCTTCACAGGTGCTTCTCGCTAACAGCACTTGCCCCGACAGTCTCTTCAGGCTACCACTGAGTGGGGGGCTGGTGGCGGGGGGGGGGTGGTATCTTTGTCTTTGTGCGTCAGGCCGAGGGGCACGGCGCGAGCGTTGACCCGGGCGACGTTTCGCGTCTCACGGCCGACGTGCGCCTCTTCACCGACGCGCTCGGCAAGCTCCGTGACGTCTTCTCCAACCCAGGTGGGTGCCGCTGTGGTGGTGGGGGGGGGGCAAGGGGGGCTGGGGGGGCCAGGGGGGCCGGGGGTGGGTTTAGGAGTCGCAACGTTTAGTTTGTGATACGTGTTTTTGCATGCTTTGTTTATCTTTTCTTGTACTCTGCACTTCCGTCGTGTTTTTTGTGTTGTTGTTGTTGTCGTCGTCACGTTCTTACCCCCGTGTTGTCCCCTTGAAAAAGAGCTTCATAGCTCGTCGGATTCCTCCAGTAATACGTAAATATTCTGATTCTAAAATTGCAAAATGTTGCAGTGGGTTTACTCTCTCCCGACACGTAACCTGATTGGCACGTTTTGTTTACGTGACGAAAACCTTGCTACTCCATTGGCTGTGTCGGGTGGCGGTGGCGGGTTTAACGACGCATTTATATTTACGCGATCCAGCCCAACAGAAACAACCTCCTATTATGGCCTTCAACGGGCCGTTGGGGCAAGTGCTGTTAGGGAAGGCGCCGCGGTGCCTTGGAGATGTTAACTACCTCGCCTGGTGTACAGGAGGTCGTGGGTTCGATCCCGACACCGACAACGCCTGCTGTATATTTGGAGTTTGCGTGTGTAGCGAGATGTTAACTACCTCGCCTGGTGTACAGGAGGTCGTGGGTTCGATCCCGACCCCGACAACGCCTGCTGTATATTTGTGGTTTGCATGTAGCGAGATGTTAACTACCTCGCCTGGTGTACAGGAGGTCGTGGGTTCGATCCCGACACCGACAACGCCTGCTGTATATTTGGAGTTTGCGTGTGTAGCGAGATGTTAACTACCTCGCCTGGTGTACAGGAGGTCGTGGGTTCGATCCCGACCCCGACAACACCTGCTGTATATTTGGAGTTTGCGTGTAGCGAGATGTTAACTACCTCGCCTGGTGTACAGGAGGTCGTGGGTTCGATCCCGACCCCGACAACACCTGCTGTATATTTGGAGTTTGCGTGTAGCGAGATGTTAACTACCTCGCCTGGTGTACAGGAGGTCGTGGGTTCGATCCCGACCCCGACAACACCTGCTGTATATTTGGAGTTTGCGTGTAGCGAGATGTTAACTACCTCGCCTGGTGTACAGGAGGTCGTGGGTTCGATCCCGACCCCGACAACACCTGCTGTATATTTGGAGTTTGCGTGTAGCGAGATGTTAACTACCTCGCCTGGTGTACAGGAGGTCGTGGGTTCGATCCCGACCCCGACAACACCTGCTGTATATTTGGAGTTTGCGTGTAGCGAGATGTTAACTACCTCGCCTGGTATACAGGATTTTGAATGTGAAGACCGGCACCGTTTGTCTCCCTAATGCTGATGGCCCTCGTTTACGGCCAAGTCGACTTAGGGGAGACCCAGGACCGGTTCAGATAAGCGCGAGTGGGAATCGAACTCGGGCCGCCAGGTTCGTGGCGCAGTGCGCCAATTGCTGCGCTACGGGTCCCTCGCGCGCACGCGCGTAGGTCACGCACACGAACGCTTTCATAGCTACTGATCGGCCCAAAACTGAGGGCTGCACGATTGTGCTTTAGGATTGCTGACCGCTCACCCGTCCTCTCACCCACCCAAATCACTGGCTCGCTCGCTCGCTCACCAACTCACGCACTCACCCGTCCACTCACCCACCCACTCACCCACCCAATCGCTGGCTCGCTCGCTCGCTCACCAACTCACGCACTCACTCGTCCACTCACCCACCCACGCACTCGCTCAGCTTACTACCTCACAAACTCGCTCACTCGGACGCTCGCAGCCTACTCGCTCGCCAACTAACTCGCTCACCCACCCTTGAACTCACTCGCTCACTCACGTGCTCGTCAGCACGCTCCCTCACCCATCAACTCGGACACCATCGTGATGAGACGTTACACACCTCGCCTGCTATACAGGAGTTATACAGGATGTCTCTCGTGGGTTCGATCCTAACCCTAATGCCTGTATATTTGGAGTTTGCGTGTTCTCCCCGTGGTCATTTCGATTTTTTATCCGGATCCTCCGGCTTTTCCCTGCACATTTATTATCGACAGGACACGTTTCGATTATTTGGCTGCCGCTATAAATTTGCCCGTGATGATAAGCCCACTTCGTTGAGCTATCATTTGCGGCCTAGGTCGCTGCTGAGAAAAGGCTGTGGAGCTCCGTGTGGGGCCTTACCTTGAAAAATAAAAAAACACAGTTTAGTTTATTAACGAATTCACTCGCTCGCTCACTGAACCAGTGAACGACTCGCCCCCCACATACCAACTAATTTACTCGCTCGCCCACCAACTCGCTCGTTCGCGAACTCGCCCATTCACCCATTCGCTCGCCAACACACCCACCGACCCGTATACAGGAACCCAACCACTGGAGTGTATACAAAAGACATAGATCCCGCATTATAGCCTTAACAGATTGTGTGGGAAAATGGCGTTTAGCGAGCGCCCATGAAGGGCGAGACACCGCACGCGGGGCCGCCTTTGCCTCCCGAGTGGCAACGTTTGCACGCCGCACCGGGTACGCATTTGAGGCCGAGTCGACCTAGAGGTGGCCCAAGACCCGGATCAGATTAATCCCCGCAGGTTTCGGTGGCCGTGAGCGGGAATCGATCTCGGTTCGCAGCCAGGAAGCGCAGCGCAGCGCGACTAACTGCTGCGCTTACCGCACGGGACATTTTGATAGCGGCTGCATTCTAAACTTTCCCCGTGCATCTGAAAGTTGAGGCTGCTCGGGGGGTGGGGGTGGGGGTGGTGGTGGGTGGGGATGTTGCTTTGGGACGGTCGCTGGGATTGTTGACTGCTCCCTAAGCTCACCCAGAACGGGGCGCTATCTGATTTTAAGTGGAGTGTTTGTGAGTAATTTCTCTACCCCCCCCCCGCCCTCCCCCCCATAAGAAGTGTGTGTTTATACGAGTGAGCCAGTGTTTGTTTACATATACGCGCTGTTTTTGTTTATTCGGGTATGCCGGGCCGCTGCCGTCTGTATATGTGTGTGTGTGTACGCGGAGCGGTGGCGCAACGGTTAGCGCGCCGCGCTACGAACCCGCTCATTGCCACCAACACCGGTGACGGTTATTTGAACCGTTCCTGGGCCTCTCCCCTAGGTCGACTAGGCCTCAAATGAGTAACGTGGTGCGGTGCGTAAAAACACCGCCACTGTGGAGACGAAGGCGGTCGGATGTGGTGCCGGGGCCGGCCACCCCACCCGCTCATGTGCCGTGCCGGCCTTAATAGGTGCTACTCTCTAACAGCACTTGCCCCAGCAGCCTGTTAAGGATATACGGGTATCTTTGTCTTTGTGTATATATACACGTGTGTGTATATATACACGTGTGTGTGTGTGTGTACACACACACACGTGTGTGTGTGTACACACACGTGTGTGTGTGTGTGCGTGCGAGCTCTTCCCTTGGGAAGGCGATTGGAGTTTTGAGGTTTTGCCCTCTTCCTCTGCCTGGGCGTGGCCCGGAAGCCTGTGATCACCGCCGCCACCACTACCACCACTACCACCATTATTACTCCCGCCACTACCACCACCACCACTATTACTACCACCCCCACCACGACCACCACCACTGCTAACACTGCCACCTCTACCGCCACCACTACCACCACCACTACTATCACCGCTACCGCCACCACCACCACAACCACCATTATTACTCCCGCCAATTCCACCACTATTACTACCACCCCCACCACGACCACCACCACTACTATCACCGCTACTATCACCGCTACCGCCACCACATCCACCCCCACCACCCCACCACCACTATTACTACCACTGCCACCATTACCACGAACACTACTACTATCACCTCTACTGCCACCACTACCAACACAACCACCACTACCACCACATACAAAGACAAAGATCCCCCGTATATCCTTAATAGACTGTAGGGGCCAGTGCTGTTCGCGAGCACCTATCAAGGCCGGAACGGCACACGATGGGGTGGGTGGCCAGCCCCCTGCCTTTGTCTACCCAGTGGCGATGTTTACACATTCGCGTCGGGTACTCGTTTGAGGCCGAGTCGACCTAGGGGAGGCCCAGGACCAGTTCAGATAGTCGTCACCGCTGTTGGCCATGAACGGGAATTGAACCCGGGTCGCCGGGTTCATAGCGAAGCGCGCTAACCACTGCACCACCGCTCCCCTCATACACATACAGTACCCACACACACGGAGACGAGCGGGCACGAGTTGCCCGCTCCGTCGCGGCGTGATTATCTCCGGCGTGAGAACGTCACGCGCTCCCGCTCCTCATCTCCCTTCCCCATCTCCCTTCCCCGTTCTGCATCTCTCTCAATAGTTCCGTGTCTCCGTGTCTGTCCGTATGTATCTCTCTGTGTCTGTACTATGTATCTCTCCGTGTTTCTCTGTGTCTGTGTGTGTGTATCGCTCCACGTCTCATTGTCTCTCTAACTCCATCTCTCCGTGTCTGTGTGTCTGTATGTATCTCTCTGTACTACGTATCTCTCCGTGTTTCTCTGTGTGTGTCTGTGTATCGCTCCACGTCTCATTGTCTCTCCCTCTCTAACTCCATCTCTCCGTGTCTCTCTGTGTCTGTCCGTATGTATCTCTCTGTGTCTGTACTATGTATCTCTCCGTGTTTCTCTGTGTCTGTGTGTATCGCTTCATGTCTCATTGTCTCTCTAACTCCATCTCTCCGTGTCTCTGTGTCTGTCCGTATGTATATCTCTGTGTATGTACTATGTATCTCTCCGTATGTATCTCTCCGTGTTTCTCTGTCTGTGTGTGTATCGCTCCACGTCTCATTGTCTCTCCCTCTCTAACTCCATCTCTCCGTGTCTCTCTGTGTCTGTACGTATGTGTCTCTCTGTGTCTGTCCGTATGCATCTCTCTGTGTCTGTACTATGTATCTCTCCGTGTTTCTCTGTCTGTGTGTGTATCGCTCCACGTCTCATTGTCTCTCTAACTCCATCTCTCCGTGTCTGTGTGTCTGTATGTATCTCTCTGTCTGTACTATGTATCTCTACGTGTTTCTCTGTGTCTG